GTTTTCTGTGACAAAAGAAAAGCAAGCAGAAAGATTTTTTTTTTCATTAAAAGATATACACACACATACAACACATTGAACTGAGCTGATCTCAATTATACTATAAAATCTCTACTGGATCTGTTAAGAAAAGCAGCATAAAAATATTAAGTTACCAAGTATATAAGGTATCCCACCTAGAAGACAACTAGGTATTCTGAGTATGAAGTGAAGGAAAAACAATATGTATGGAAAATAACTGAAATTATCAATCAGTGGCATGTTTCTGTATTTCTTCAATTATTAAAGCCCATTAAAGCAAGTTAATATTTATATCGCATGGAAAAGATCAGAAGGAAGATCTTAAGACCTTATTTACTTAACTTCAAAAATAATGAAGTAGAATGGAAAAAAATGTGCTGAATAATAGGTCAAAAGAACTGGAAGCCAGAGACCAGAGGATACTTGAGGCCAGGAGTTCAAGACCAGCCTGGATGAGACCCTGTCTCTACAAAAATAAAAATAAAAAAACTTATCTAGGCATGGTGGCACATGCAGGTAGTCCCAGCTACTTGGGACGGTGAGGTGGGAGGATCACTTGAGCCCAGGAGTTTGAGGGTACTATGAGCTATGGTTGCACCACTGCACCCCAGCCTGGGCCACATGAGCAAGACTGCCTCTATAAAGAAAAGAAAACAACAACAAGAACAACAACAAAAACTGGGGTTTATCCTCATTACATAAGAATCTCAATTTCTCCATCTGTAAAATGGGTGAATCATCTTGCTTGACTCATTGTTCTGAAGAGAAGATGAGTGTGAATTGCACTACAGGCAGTTCCGTTTTGGTCACGTTTACAACTTTATTAAATGTCGTGAAAGAAGTAAAGATACTCTCATTCAGTTTTACTAAAACAAAACACAGATGGAGTTTTAAATAAATCAAGAGTCATTTGAAGCAGCTTAGCTAGGATTCACCTACAATGCTCCTTATTAACTGTACTACCTAGGAACTCCAGTTGGGCAAGGAAAGTCCAAATAATGGAGTAGATACTCGTCTGAACCAGTGGACATTGCTGTATATGGCCATAAGTCATGTTCCTAATGACCTCTAATGCACAGAATGTCTCCTGAGAGATGTAGAGAGTGGAGTGAGAATGGATCAGAGTAGCAGTCTACAGAGGGTGCCAGTGACATCCTCTTACGCAAAGAATACGCATGCTAACTCACTGGGCAAGTTGCAAAGTTTACAATTATTAACTTTAGGAAATACTCAAATAGATAAGGGTTTATCCTTTTACTAGTTTGTAGTAAATCTTGGAAAACCATCACCCAAGGATAGAACATGAGCCACAAATATATCAATTCTGAACTTAAATTCATGGTTGTAAAAAATATACTCTCACTTGCTATAAATCTACTAGATTTTTGATATTAAACATTTTCCAGAGTATATTTCTTAGAGCACTAGCTTTAAACACAACTAACAAATGCTACCAAAAATCAGAAGTTTTAGAAATACAACCTGATCACCTTTAAATAGACTTATTCTATAAAACATGATTTCTCAGGCTTTTTTTTAACTTATTTATGTTACTTTAGGTGCATACTATGTCTGGTATTTCTCCCCATGTTATCCCTCCCTTCCCTCTCCAACCCCCACTGTCTCTTCCCTACCCCGCCCAACTGCTCCCGGTGTGTGATGCTCCCCTCCCTGAGTCCACGTGTTCTCGTTCAACACCCACCTATGAGTGAGAACATGTGGTGTTTGGCTTTCTGTTCTTGTGTCAGTTTGCTGAGAATGATGGTTTCCATATTCATCCACATCCCTACAAAGGAGACAAACTCATCGTTTTTTTATGGCTGCATAGTATTCCATGTTGTATATGTACCACATTTTCTTTCTCCAGTCTATCATTGATGGGCATTTGGATTGGTTCCAGGTCTTTGATATTGTACACAGGGCTGCAATGAACATACCTGTGCATGTGTTTTTATAGTAGAACGATTTATAATTCTTTGGGAATATACCCAGTAATGGGATTGCTGGGTCAAACGGAATTTCTATTTCTAGATCCTTGAGAAATCACCACACTGTCTTCCACATGGTTGAACTAATTTACACTCCCACCAACTGTGTAAGAGTGTTCCTATTTCTCCACAACCTCTCCAGCATCTGTTGTCTCCAGATTTTTTGATGATCACCATTCTAACTGTCATGCGATGATATCTCAGTGTGGTTTTGATTTGCATTTCTGTAATGACCAGTGATGATGAGCATTTTTTCACGTTTGTTGGCCTCATATATGTCTTCTTTTGAAAAGTGGCTGTTCATATCCTTCACTCACTTTTGAATGGGGTGGTTTATTTTTTTCTTGTACATCTTGGTTCTTTGTAGATTCTGGATATTAGCCCTTTGTCAGATTGGTAGATTGCAAAAATTTTTTCCCATTCTGTTGGTTGCCGATTCACTCTAATGATGATTTCTTTTGCTGTACAAAAGCTCTGGAGTTTAATTAGATCCAGTTTGTCTATCTTGGCTTTTATTGCCATTGCTTTTGGTGTTTTAGTCATGAAGTCCTTGCCTATGCCTATGTTCTGGATGGTTTTGCCTATGTTTTCTTCTAGAGTTTTTGTGGTTTTAGGTTTTATGTTTAAATCTTTGATCCATCTGGAGTTAATTTTAGTGTAAGGTGACAGGTAGGGGTCCAGTTTCTGCTTTCTGCACATTGCTAGCCAGCTTTCCCAACACCATTTATTAAACATGGAGTCCTTTCCCTATTGCTTGTTTTTGCTGGGTTTGTCAAAGATCAGTTGGCTGTAGATGTGCGGTGTTTCTTCCGAGGCCTCTGTTCTGTTCCATTAGTCTACGTCTCTGTTTTGGTACCAGTACCATGCTGTTTTGATTACTGTAGCCTTGTAATATAGTTTGAAGTCCACAGTGTGATGTCTCCAGCTTTGTTCATTTTGCTTAGGATTGTCTTGGCTATGCGGGGTCTTTTGTGATTCCATATGAAGTTTAAAGTGTTTTTTTTTTTTCCAGTTCTGTGAAGAAGGCCATTGGTAGCTTGATGGGGATAGCATTGAATCCATAGATTACTTTCGGCAGTATGGCCATTTTCACGATATTGATTCTTCCTAACCATGAGTATGGAATGTTTCTCCATCTGTTTGTGTCCTCTCTTATTTCATTGAGCAGTGGTTTATAGTTCTCCTTGAAGAGGTCCTTTACATCCTTTGTTAGTTGTATTCCTAGGTATTTTATTCTCTTTGTAGCTATTGTGAATGGGAGATTTCTCAGAGTTTTTAATCATATGTCAATATCAATAAGAGGATGTATTATGCAGCATTGCTCAAATACACTGGAACAGAGAAACCTTTATTCTCAGTATAGTTGGTGTTCCAAGGAATACATTGTAAAAAGTACTAAATTAAAGGATATTTAGAACCTGTGTAACAGAGGCACATTACCTATCTGAAATGGCCAGGGAACTGTTATCTACAGCATACTTGCTAGAGCAGTCTTGTTGAAAAGGCAGATACAGGCCAGGCGCAGTGGCTCATGACTGTTATCCCAGCACTCTGGGAGGCCGAGGCTGCTGGATCACTTGAGGCCAGGAGTTTGAGACCAGCCTGGCCAATATGGCAAAACCCCATCAATCCTAAAAATACAAAAATTAGCCAGGTATGGTGGCACATACCTGTAATCCAGGCTACTGGGGAGGCTGAGGCACAAGAATCACTTGAACCATGGAGGCAGAGCTTGCAGTAAGCCAAGATCACGCCACTGCACTCCACCCTGGGCAACAGAGTAAAACCAGGTTTCAAAAGAGGGGGGGAAATAACAGCAACAAAAAAGATGGGTTAGGGTTAAGGTTAATTCAGTTGCTTTCCTTGATTCATAATCAACATGCCTCTTGGTTACTGAAAATACTAAGATACACCAAACAGTAATTTCGCTTTTTCATGTTTATACATGAAGTTAGTATTTGATCTCAGCAAATTTAGAAAAATAAAGGATCAGAAGCTTTCGATTTTTCCACCAAAAAATATTCCTCTAAACTTTATGAATTGAGAAACCCTGTCTTCATTTGATGATTTCAGTTTTGACATTTTGTGTTACTGGTGAAATTCAGAAACTTAGAAACATAGTTGATTCCATAGAAAATTCAATTATTGAAGAGTAGAACTTGAATTTTCAGGGTGAATGTGTGTGTTAGGAATATGGGTCATACTTCATTCTTATGTAACTGAACATGTAGTTTTATTTGGGCTCCCTTTCTTTATTGCAAAAATAGAAGTTATCCCCAATACATAATTTATTGACTACTGCAACTTAGCAAAAAATGATCTGGCTTCGTTATTCATCCTGATAAGAAAAATTTGGTGGATTAAAGGCATTGGAAAGGAAATTTTAATAGTGATATGAGAACAGAATGGGAGACGGGAACAATAGAGACTTCAATATTATCTGTAATTCTCTATTTTTTATATTTAAAAAGATGCAAACATGAAAACATGACATTTGCCAATTATGTGAATGTATTACATAACTTTCTTACATTAGTTTTCTGCTTTTTTAATTAAAAAAATAAATATTACTAACAATTTATATGATCATTCATTCAACAAATACTAGTTGAGAGCCTACTATGTGATAGGTGCTAGCAATACAAGAGAGAGAAAAAGAGACATCATCCCCATCCCCCTGGAGCTTGTGTTTAGATGTGAAATGTAAAAAAATGTTTGAAACCTTATTTAGAATGTGTAAAAGGACAAAGTGAGGAAATGGGGTGAATTAACTCATATTGATAATTAAGAGGTAGAGCTGCTGTGGGTACTAAATCAGTAAGCAAAGGCCTTTCCATACTGAGAGGAACTGCCTTAGTTTTAGTGAAAATTGAGTTGAGAAAAACATATGCACTGGCTATGGGCCACACAGCTAAGCAATCTCATGTGGTATTTCATTTTCTCATGGTTGCAGCTCAAAGTTCACATGCATTTTTCTTTGATTCTCTCTAGTATATGACTGCTGCTGCTCCTATGCAAGGGACCTACATTCCCCAGTACACGCCTGTGCCTCCGACAGCTGTTTCTATTGAAGTAAGTCTATCCCTGTCTAACAGAAAGAGGTTAGAAGAGATACATCTCAGTCACATGCACTGTAGTCCCCCATAACCCTAGGAATGCTCACTTGCAATTTTTGTGCTGCTCTAAAATTTTACATTATAGATTCAGTATATGAAGGTATAAACATTTACCTTGGATGTAGCTGTGTTTTGTTTTGCACATGAAATGAGCTCATCTGCTACAGGGACATGACAGGAGTCTCTTCCAGAAACCAAATCACGACTCCATCAAATTTTAATCACAAATACTTATAAAAGGAAAAAAGTTTACAACTATGTGAATGAACTACTTCTCTAATGCCATGTTCCTCAAAGAGTGGTTCTTGGACCAGCATCAAAGGTATCCCTTGAGAGCTTGTTAGAAGTGCGGACTTATGGGGCACGATGGCAGGCACCTGTAATCCTAGCTACTTGAGAGGGTGAGGCAGGAGGATCTCTTAGATAAGTTCAAGACCAGCCTGGGCAAAACAGACCCTGTCAGAAGGAAGAAAAAAACTGTAGATTCTCAGGTACTATCCAAACCTACTGTATCTGAGTTTGCATTTTAAGATGACCACTCAGTGATCCAGATGCACATTAAAATTTGAGAGACACTGGATGAATGCACTAGTTCAAACTTTTCTGCACATTGAAATTATTTGGGGAGCTTTAAAAAATGTTGATTCCTGAGTCCTATCCCCAGAGATTATGATTCATTTGTCTGGAGTACGGACTGAACATCATATTTTTAAAAGATCTTAGATGATTCTTATGTGTACCAAAGACTAGAAACCACTGCTCTAGGCCAAGAATGTTCACAGGTTTGCAGCTTCTTATAGATAAGAAAGAAACGGTACAACTCTTATTGCTGTGGATATCATGAATGATGATGTCAGTTTGTCTTTAATGGAAGCTTTGCTGCTTTCCTTCTCTCTTTACATTCTGATAAATCCATGCCGTCTACACATCATTTGACTGGACAGAGCTATGAACTACACAGAAATGGAGAAGGCACAAAGCTATGTAGATGGTGGTAACACATTTAGGTATATGCATTCTTCTCTCTTGTTGTAGACATTGCTGTTTTATTACCCTTCTTTCCCCTCTCCTGATGCACATGTGCATTGCAGTCACTGTGCATTCCTTCTCATCATCTGGGAATCCTTTGGAGTTGTTGTCTTTGCTGCTCCATTTGTTGGCAAGCAACTGGTGTGCTGGTACCACCACTCCACATAAAAATCGACCAAAACTCTCAATCTCTGAGATTGAGGGAGACCTTTATAGACTAAATTGGATCTTCTAAAATGTTTCCTGGTTTTGGTGTGCGACAAATATGTGTTCATACCACCAAGGTTTGGGAAACCAAGAAGTTCCCATTTTTTTTCTTTTCTTTTTTTGAGACGGAGTCTCGGTCTGTCACCAGGCTGGAGTGCAGTGGCACAATCTGGGCTCATTGCCAGCTCCGCCTCTCAAGTTCAAGTGATTCTCCTGCCTCAGCCTCCCAAGTAGCTGGGACTACAGGTGTGCACGACCACGCCCAGTTAATTTTTTTGTATTTTAGTAGAGACAGGGTTTCACCGTATTGGCCAGGATGCTCTCAATCTCTTGACCTTGTGATCCACGTGCCTCAGCCTCCCAAAGCGCTGGGATTACAGGCGTGAGCCACCACGCCTGGCCAGGGGTTCCAATTTTTAAATCTTTCATGTGTTCTAGACCTGTAGGTCTCAAAGAATGTGTCATGTTAAACAGTTTTAATTGTCTTTTCAGAATTTGAAGAATATGTGATTAAATTTCATGTTCTTTGCTGTATTTAGCTGTCAAAAAGCACCAATACCATGAGAAAATTTTAGATCTGGACATTCTAGGTACTTTAAATGTCAACTTCAACCACATATTTGCATTTCCCTGTGTACACCAAAGACATACTTATCTACAAAATTTGACCATTTTGATGACTAAGAGACATATGACTGTGGCTTACTGGAAACAGTCTAATTATAGTTATATTTAGGGATTACAAAGAAATATTTCACTGAGAAAAATATAAATATACTCTGATATCGCCTTGAACCAGTGATTATAAGCATTAATTCATTTTCTATGTAAAAACATTCATTGACCATTTATCAATATCTATAAAGTAAATGCTGGTGGGAGGGTTCAAAAAAATAATACCAAACAGTAAATTCGGAAAGAAAAGGGTGAATAAATATAGACAGAATTGTCAAATTCTAAAGAAGAAATTTAGGGAATTTCAGTTAGCAACAGAATTAACCAAGAACATTTCAAACTTGACATCACTGCAGGTATCCAGGACTGCAAATATACAGCCAGGAACATGTATTGAGATAGATGCTCTGCTTAGGCTACTAACGACCAAATAAAATCACCTGTGCCTCTGTGGGATCCAAAAATATATTCCTGATTATGACCATTTCCAGAAATCCACTCTTGCCAGCATCTATGAGAAACAAAAACAGAAAAGGTAAAGGAAAAGCAAACCAAAATTAAGGTTAAGTTTTGTTGTTGTTTTTCTAAAACTTCTCAATGATTTTCAGTTCGTATCCTGGAAAACAAAACAAAATCAAATCAAATTACTGAAGAGAAAACCACCTACTTAATTAGCATCCTTTTAAAAGATTTCCAAACTTTGATGTATATTTTTATTAAGTTCAGGTTCCATTGTTATGCCAAATGGTATAGACATGATACAGTGAACTATGCCAGGAAAATGTTTGAACATACAAGTTTTTATAGGAATCCTGAATGAGGATAAATTGTTATTTATTGTGGACAACTGTGTAAACATCATTTAAAAGTTCCAAATACAGGCAAAATTATTTTACGACCACTTCTCCAAGGACTTCAGCTGGCAAGGCTTCTTCATGTCACATTAGGATGAATTACTTATCCCCTATCTAAATGTGCTCTCTGGGTTTCCTCTGAGTACGTATTGTGACTTCATATAGCTGAGGGCATCTCTACTCAAGCCAGAGAAGAGGGGTACTTACAGCCCATCTAGAGAGGGCCCTTTGCTGAAGCAAGTAAGGCTTTTCTGTTATTTGCCTCCTTAGGGTGTTGTTGCTGATACCTCTCCCCAGACAGTGGCACCTTCATCCCAGGACACCAGTGGTCAGCAGCAACAGATAGCAGTGGACACATCTAACGAACATGCACCTGCATATTCTTACCAACAGTCTAAGTAAGTCTGGCCTGTGCTAAGCTCTTTTCCTCAAGATCAACCATCTTGACATCACTTTCTCATGTTGTATCTGTTACCTCTTGCTGAAAAACAAACCATCCCAAACTTAGCAACAAGCATTTATGTAGCTCATGATTATGTGGGTTTGAAATCTGGGCTAACTTTGGGTGGATGGTTCTTCTGATCTTGACAGGAATCAGACATCTAGGAACAGCTGCTGATTATTTATGCATCTCTGCTTCTGGGTGTTGCTAGGTGTTGGATCTGTGATGGAAGTGACTGGGCCATATGTTTCTGATCCAGCAGGCTAATTCACATGGAAGTCTCAGAATTTCAAAAACAGCAAAGAACAAGCCCAAATGTACAAGTACTCTTCAATTCTGTTTATTACTAATTTTCTACTGTCTTATTAGCCAAAGGAAGACACTTGGCCAAACAGTCAATGTAGCAGTTCGCTTTGAAAAAGCTTGAAATAGAGAGAGGCATTGTAGGCATTTTAAAAATATCTACCGTATTTATTATTGAAAAAATTATAATATTCCTCCCTGAAACTGAATAGATAGCCTGCATTTTGGTCTCGGTCTTCTCTTAAATGAAGACAGTTACATTCCCCTTTGTAGGCTTACTTTGAATACCTAATTAAATGTCCATGAAAAAGAGTATTTTAAGATATAAAGCAATAGAAAATATGGTCCTATTCAGGAATAAAATGGCAAGTATTTTCAGAATTACTCTGTAAATCCTTAAATCACTCATAATGCAAAGTACATTTACCTTTGTGTTGAGTAAATATTTGGAAAACTTTGGTAAGGTTTGAGGGCTTTTTATTGAAACCAAAAGAATTTATACAAAAGGAAAGGCTTTATACAGGTGTCTTGGCATGCAGATTATTCAATTTTGTACATAGCAATCAAATCCCTGCATAGCATATCCCCAGATAATACTGACTGGCTACAGAGTGCTGCTCCATTATTTTAAATAATAATTTTTCTTGTTACAGAAAAAAAAAATTATTCTGATATTTGTTAAAACAATAAGGAAAACTTTATTAGGTTGGTACAAAAGTAATTGCTGTTTCTGCCATTAAGAACTATTGCAATAGATATTCAGATTATGGCAATAGGGAAGAGAGATCACGTTTAATTCAGAACACAGCAAACACAGCTGGGGATTTGCAGCCAACAAGCAGAGAGCAGGGGTCAGTGAGTGGAGACTTACTAAGAGAAGACATCAGGAACAGGGGACTTACTGCTCAACTAACTTGACAGGGGCCTTGCTGAAGGCAGATCAAGAGATGATAACATCAAAGGTAGGGGATGAGAAGGATGAGAAAATTGATCAGATATTGTGTGTGATCATATCCAGGATAGGTTATCCATCTCTTTAAACTGACTTAGCAAGATTCTTGCTAAAACTAGGCTATAAAGAACTGGCAAGAATGGGAGCAAAGTCTACGCATACTCAAGAAGGGGACTCAGAGTAGCCTGACTAAAATTTGAGCAAGAAGAGAGTCTTTGTCACTTTTTAACCTCAATATACATTAAGAGATTTGTTAGATTCATCAAGACAATAAACTGCTTTATGTGTGGTTTAGATCTAAAGTCAGCCTTACAAATTCTTACAAATTAAATTTTCTCAGAATACGACTTAACCTTACAAATGTAAGGTATTATTATGATTGCTGTTATTACTGTCAATAATGACTTTCAGAAAAGATTGTTCCTGAGGAAAGCAGTATGTTGTTGTTGGTTTAATTGGCATAGCTTGTGTGAGTCACATTTATGTGCAAAACTAACACTGTCGTAGACTCTGAAACTCACTCCTGTCCAGGCATATTGAACATTTTTTTCAGTCTGGTCAATGGGTTATATGTGGGGAAAGGAGCAGATATTGGCTATGTATAAGCATAGCGAGAGACACTGGTGGGAGATGGGAGATACTGTGGGTAATGGGAAATTTTGTGACCATTTGACTGAGCCACAGGGTACCCATGTATTTGGCCAAACAGTATTTCTGGGCATGTCTGTGAGGGTGATTTTGGATGAGATTAACATTTGAATCAGTTAAAGCAGATCTTCCTCCCCAGTGTGGGAGGCCCTATCTAATCAGTTGAAGCCACTATAGAGCAAAAAGTTGAACTTCTCATGAATGAATAAGAAGTAACTCCTGCTACTTGACTGCTGGAGCTACAACATTGGTCTTTTCCTTTGGACTTAAAGAAAAATATTGGCTCTTAGGTCTTGAGCCTGCCAGCTATGGAACTAGAATTTACATCAACTCTTTTAGTTCGCGGACTTTCAAACTCAACCTAGAACTACACTATTGGCTGCTCAGTCTTAATAATAGTGTGAGCCAATTTCTTATTCAAGAAAACAAAAATTCTCTCATATGCATTATATATATATGTGTGTGTGTGTGTGTGTGTGTGTGTGCGTGTATGTACATACATACACGCACACACACACAGTTACTTCTGAAATTGGCTTTCTGATTTGATTACAGATACTAATGACTATTTCTAGTAGTAAAGAGTATTTATATTCCATGACATGATCTGGCAATGGAGATAGGCAAAATATCTCAATTAAATATGCCTAATCAACCACTTTTAAGAACCAAGGAGATGGGTAACTATGTATATGACATTTTAACACATTTTTGGCAAATCAATGAATATAATATGATTGATTGCTCCTAATGTCACCAGATATAATGAGGAAAGAAGAAGATGCATTCAGGGATTCAGATTTTCAGCTAAAACACTGTATAAACGATTTGAAGGTTTCTATGTCTGCCTTGAAAAGCTCTTTATTTCCTGTAGCCACATGGCTAAGACTGCTGAAAATCAAACCCAGAATCTCATCCTATGACAGGCTGAGTTACAATAAAAGCTCAACTCCTAATCTCATGAGTATCTACTGTTAAAGTAAGGGCATTAATTGAGAGAGAGTGGGATCTTGTAAGTTGGCATGGCTATATGGAGGCAGAACCTAATTAAGCTGGGAACAGTAAGCCCCTAAATATGATGAATATTCGTTGCCAGGGGAAGAAGCCTCCCCATGCCCAGTGAGAATAGCTTCTCCACTACAAGTGGGAGTGATCTGTCTACCCCTGTGTGAGGATATTAACCCTGCATTGCCTGAAAAAAACTGTAATGGCTTCCCTGAGCCAGTTGTCATATAAGACAATGCTCAGTCTTCTTAGGACTCACCTCCACACTTCTTTGCTTCTAGATCTATAACTAGCCTGAAGCCTAACAAGCCCCTAAAGGTGAGGTCCAAAATATCACCCATAAGCAGGTGAACTACACTTCAGAAGAACTGCTTGCATTTTTTTACTTCATACAGACAGAAATTTAGGGAACGCAGGTGGAAATGGATATCAATGATGTGAGATAATAATGGAAGGAACAAAACATTGGATCAACCCAAAGTAATTGACATGGGTTCACTAAGCATAGCTTCTGCATTTAATGTTGCAGCTCAAGGCGTTATAAAGACTCCGTTAGTTTGGTTGCTTGACTAAAACATGGAATAAGAGATGACCCACAGCGAGCTAGTTGGAAATGGTAGTCCTGCCTTGTCTAACCTAGAGGAAGAGATTCGAAGGCTTAGAGAGGTTTTAATATTAGAGTGTATTTATCATTGAAGACCTACTCACCCACGCTGGGAGGGTCCAGAAGACATTTCAGCACAACTATAAGAAATGCATATGTGAGGAGAGCCTTGGCATCCTTGAATAACTTGGCAATTGTTCTTCTTTGTAGCCTAGAACTTACAATGGGAACTATAGTCACTGAATTGGGAAATATAAATACAATTAGAGTTATTCGATCCTGAGTGGCTGAGGCCAGGTGGCAACACTCAGTCACTAAAAGCAAGGTTGGCATGGTTACTGTAGTGGACAGCAGAGACAAAACAGCAATCAGAATTGTCTGACTCATGCAGACTTATGACACTGGCTGGCTGATCATAGTGTTCCTGAAAGTGAAATATGTAGAAAGTCTAAATTCTTATTTGCTTTGTAAGCAGAAAAATTCAGGTCAGGTGAATAAATGTCTAACTTGAATCATAAAGACAGAGATTCATTGACACTTCAATCACTTCCCAGATGTGAGCCAGTTTACAGAGCCAGAATCCAGTGACTGAAGAGGAGGTTGGGTTTCCTCAAAGACAGACACTGATAAACTATCAAAAATGTATACTGTTAATTTTTCTCTCAGCCTTCCCATAAAGGACCTATTGCCCCTGACCAAAGAAAAGAAAAAGGGTCTATTGGACAGAGGCTCTGAACTGACATTAATTCTGAGAGACCTACAATGGCACCATGGTACACCAGAGTATTGAGCTCACGTCCTTCTCACAGTGTGTTCTATGAATCCCCAAGCCCACCTGGTGGTTGTTTCCTTAGTTCTGGACCACTCAGTAGCTCGCAGAGTCGCCACATTGGTTGGGTCCCCTGACTTGTAGAATGAGGACTTTTATGGTGGAACAGGCAAAATGAAGGACAGAAGAACTGCCTCTACATGGGAAAAATAGTAAACCAAATTCAATAATGCATTTCTAGAGGGATTGCAAAATTTAGTGCTACTGTCAAGAACTTGAAACATGCATGGTGTTGATTTCCATTATAACTCCTTTTAACTTGTCCATTTAGCCTGTGCAGAAGACAGATGGAACTTAGAGAAGGACAGTGGATTATTATAAGCATACTGTATTAGTCTGTTTTCATGCTGCTGATAAAGACATACCCAGAACTGGGTAGAAAAAGAGGATTAATTGGACTTACAGTCCCACATCCTGAGGCTGGAGAGGCCTCAGAATCATGGCGGAATGTGAAAGACACCTCTTATCTGGCAGTGGCAAGAGAAAATGAGGAAGATGTAAAAGCAGAAACCCCTGATAAAACCATCAGATCTCATGAGACTCATTCACTACCATGAGAACAGTATGGGGGAACCTCCCCCATGATTCAAATTATCTCCCACTGGGTTCCTCCCA